AAAAAAAAAAGGTGAGTCCCTCTCACTAAACAGTTCAAATTACCATTTTTTTGAGGGAAGACTAGTAGCTGAAACAGCTTCCACTAAGCACCCCTTAAGCTGAATTGTGGTGTGCAAGCCATCAGGGTCTGTAAGCACAAGTGAGGACCCACTGATTTTCCCATACTTCCTAACAGGACTCACCTCCAGCAGTTCCTTTTTTCTCTTCTGCTCCTTTGACTGCTTCTCCACCCTCAATTTTGAAACCTTGTCAGGCTCCAAAACCCAAACCACACCCTGAATAGAGAGGAACACATGATCAAATTAAAAAACAAAACAAAACAAAACAAACAAACATGCATCATGGGGGACCAGAAAGCCACCTCCTTTCTGAGTAACTGTTGATGGGAATCACTTCGAGCACCACCAAGTTGCGTTTCCGACGCGATTTTCGCCTGGTCTCTGCTGATCCTTCTACGCAGTCGTTTCAGGACCCACAAAAACCCAAGAGCTTCGGCAGCCACAACCGCCACCACCCCAAGAAGAAACCCAAAGAAGATCAAGGCGAAAACAAGAACCATTTCACACACCCCCAATTGTTCAATTTCCTTCGAATCAGGGAAAATGGGAACGAAAAACGAAAGTGAGCAAAACGAGACCGACCCAGATGGGGGAATCGAAGGAAAAGCGGGGGGAAAAGATGCCCAGATGCTCAAAATGGAAACTTCCGAAAAGAATCAGATGCCAAACACGGTAGTGGCAATAATCACTTTTCTTCGCTAACGGTTATAGAGAGAGAGAAAGCGCGTGGGTAATTTTTTGTTTGGGGCGAAGGGAACAAAAGAAATGGAAACGTAAGAATAACGGTGAGAAAGATGAAAGGATTTCATTGATTAGTAAAAGGGGGAAAAAAAAGATTTTTGTTTATGAGAAATTTTGAGTTGTGTGTTGCATGCAGAGAAGGGAGAGTGAAGCGAGTAATCGATGTGGACATTGAGAAGCAACAAGGCAGGATTTTATGGGCACAAAAGGAATCTTGGTTTTGATTGGTCACGCATGGGAGGTGTATTGATTGTGTGATCGTAATATTTGTCTTTTGGCCACATTCTTAACAATGCTTGATTCGCTTTTGTTTGAACTTGGGTGGTTGATGGATGACCATGACTATCACAAGCTTTGCTTCCAAATTCAGTTTAATTCCCTTTCCTCTTCACAGCAGATGTTTAGATGAATTTCCATGAATTTTTATATAATGTTAAGATTTCCCATCAATCGACGTGATAAAGGGTATGATTTGAATTATTTTTATAGTTTCATGTATTGTTCTTTGTCCAATAGATTTGATTATTTTATCATATATATGTTTTATAAAGTAAATTAAAAATTTAATTTAATTTTACAAAACTGATTTGTAAGGTGAAGATTATTCTTCATTTATATACATTATTGTGATCTTATTTCTAGTCGATGTGGAATCTTTAACACAATTCTTTCACGTTGAAGATTAAACATCTCAAACGTGAAATTTACATGGTCTTATTCTTATACAATGTGAAGTCTTTCGAGCATGAAGTTTGCATGGTCTAATTCATATTAGGAATGGCAACGGGGTGGGGCGGGTACGGGTTTCATGATACTCGTCCCCGTCCCTGCGAGCCAAACTCATCCCCGTCCCCGTACCCGTACCCGTCGGGTATGTAATTTTCATCCTCATCCCCGTCCCCGTCGGGTATCGAGTATACTCGTACCCGTACCCGTACCCGTCAAAATTTACGGGTATGTAATTATTTTTTTAATTATATTATAATTATAATTAGGTTATTTATTTATCTCATATTATAATAAATAATCACACATAAAAGAATATTAAATTTCTTTAATATAATTAAATTGAAAGTGGATATTAAATTAAAAATAGGAACGGAGACGGATACGGGGACGGGTACGGGGCGGGTAAGTACATACCCGTACCCGTACCCGATTTAATATATCCGGTTTTACCCGTACCCGTACCCGGTCAAATCGGGTATTCCCCGTCAAAGTCAGGACGGGTTCGGGTATTACCCGCGGGTACGGGTATATTTGCCATCCCTAATTCATATATAATGTGAGATCTTCAACACACATTTGTGTGAAGTTTGCATGGTCATATTCCTATACAATATTAGATCTCCAAGACACATTCCTCATGTCGAGGATTGAACATCTCGAATGTGGAGTTTAACTAGACATCTACAGGTGGTTTAATAACGACCTGATAACAAGTGACATGATAAGTCAACTAACAATCATTAATAGCTAGGATATACGTATTTGTGGGTGGTCCAATATCAGTCGATATCAGGTGATCTGATAAGGCCAACAATTAGAATCGCTAAGTAGATACTGATATGCTTTGATACCATCTTAGAAAGTGGATTAAGAGTCTTACTCAATCTTACAAAACAAGCTTGTAAAATGAAAATTGTTCTTTACTTATATACACTATTATAGTCTTATTCTTCCAACACATCTCTCTCATGTCGAGTATTAGACATCTCGAGTGTGAAATTTGCATAGCCTTATTCTTAGACAATGTGGGATCTCCAACAATTTGATCATAAGTATGAAATAAAAAAGAAAATTATTAGAAAAGATAAAATTTACTTCGCTAACTTTTATGTCTTGAAATAAATTAGTATTCAACTATAGATGACATCAAACACAAATATTACAAGGGCCAAATATAGAAATCGGGGCAAATTGCACTTATTTCCCTTGAGATTTGTTTAAATAATACATGCCTTTCCTCTAACTCATCTATCTTAGAATAATGTCATTAGTTAAAGTAAAAAAATGAAGAAAAAAAATAAAAGCCAAAGAAAAAACAAAAGTTAATTCATATTTTATCAATCATATACATGTTTATCTTTCATTTCTAAATTAATTACAATACTATGTATACTAACCTCTCTGATGACATAACCTCGATTATATACTTCTATTTCTGATGACATAACCTCGGTTATACTTCTATTACCGAGTTGATATCTTAATCTCTAACTTATATAATAATCTAATATTAATCAAGTCGGTGTAGGAGCTCAATACTTATTGATATTTAACTCAAATTAGTTTCTTTGTGATGGGGTTATTTTATAATATTTGTCTAAAGGATATTTTATAAGAGTTATTTTTATCATAGGAGCATTACACAAGCATACTCCACAATGATGAGATATTGTCCGCTTTGGGTCTTAGCTCTCACGATTTTGCTTTTGGTCATTACCAAAAAGGCCTCTCAGTCATTGAAGTATGAGTATATTTTATAAGTTGTTATTTTTTCTCTTATTTTATCGATGTGAGACTTGTTTGTATCCCAACACTTTGTAACTATAACGATTATAAAACTGATAAAAACGGACAAGTACGATTAACAAGCAAAAAGGTATGTATAATAAGATAACAAGGATATTGAACAAATGAGACTAACTTGATCGTCAAAATCTCTTTTGCATGTACTTCCACTGCTTGGAACTAAGATTGACAATAATTCATTTCAACATCAATTCATAAGTACAAAAGAGGATCTTTCGAGATAACCATATGATCTAAGTTTATCTTGGTAAGAACACTGTTTTCTTTATAAATATTTTTGTTATTCTTTAATTTTGAAAATAATAATTTCTCAACTCATTCTTTAAAAATATAATTTGAGAATTAAAATTGAATAAGAAATCAAGTCTCATTCAATTATTAATACCTACATTAATAATATGTTCCCTCTTAACACTGTACAAATAGTATTATCTTATATAAGGGATTGCATGTGTCACTTAGATAAATAAATAAGAGATACTAGTATTCACTTAAAAATCAGAAGAGATATGTGTATCATTTAAAAAGACCTCAAAGGAAATTAATAAAATTTTCCCTAAAAAATAAAATTCATAAACATAATATATATTGTATTTCATATAAAACTAGTAGAGAATAGACAATGCATGCCTCTATTATTTATTTATTTTTAGATAAAGTACAATAAAAAAAAACAATCAAACAAACAAGAAAGAAGGATACTATTACACCCTTATAAAAAAAGGATTCTACTTTCATTGGCTAAAAGTTGGTGTCGTAATGCAACTGGGAGTATCTAACTCAAATAATGCAATATCAAAGTTCGGAGCCATCTTGGTGAGCAAGTCTACACAACAATTTTCCTCGCATATCATATGGACTAATATGAGAGTCCAAGGTTTGGCCATAAGCTCCTTAGTGTTCTAAATAATGGATGCATATCTATAAAACTAAGTTTCTATTGCATTAAACCCAAAATGTGAGTTGAATCTGAGATACAAATAGTGAATGAAAATCTCATGCTCCAAGCTAACAAGAGTTCACTAAGCAAAGCTAGCAACTCAATACTTATATGGTGAATAATATAGTGAAGGGAGTTTTTACTGTACCCTTAAAGGTTTAGGGATTTTGGTACTTTCTGTGACATGTACCAATAAAATAAATATATGTCAATTAACAAGCCACATTGGTTTTTTAAATAATGTTTTCTTTTATTTAAATTTTTATATTATTTTTCTTTAACTCCTTATTTGATATTTTTAAAATAAAAAAATAATTTTTGTATTTGTCATTTGTTGATGGTGTGATTTCCGATTGGAGGGAGCTATTAGAGATCGGAGGGTGCAGAAGAAGTTTGGACCGTGCAAAGGAGGCTAGAGGGTGAGGTTGGAGGGTGCAGAAAGAGATCAAAGGGTGTAACTTGTGCGTTAATATCGTCTCTCCTTCTTCAGGTTGCCTCAAGTACTTCTGTGATAGGGTGTTCCTCCTTTGTCGTCAAAGAAAATGTAACTTCTTTTTAGTTTAATATCCTCCTTCTGATCTACCATACCCTAGAGAGAATGGAGGGTACAAGATCATTAGGGTCGGTTTGCATGTAGAGGTTAGAGACCGAAAGTGAAGCAATGACTAAGAGTAACTCTGATGGGAGTGGCTTGTCTCATGAAGTAACTCAAGCCCTGATTGCCATTAGAGAACTCTGACGTGACAACATGAGTTGTTTGAAAAAGAGAAAGAGTTGTTTCCTCAAGCAACAGTTACTTACCAAATTTTAAACAGATCTTATTGAATATATTTAGAAACGTTTCAGAAATAATAATGATGAAAATTAATTTCGCATAATGTTCATGTATTTACTATTACTTTATTTTATTTTAAATATTTACTAATTGTGTATTTTTTCTCGTAATTTATTTTCTTTCATTATAGTGAAATTATCTTTTTCAATAAAAATTAAATTTGATTCATAAATGATTAGAAAAAAATTCTAAAAGTTGAATTTCTTAAAGTTTCTTACTATTGGAATAAATTTGTGTTTAAGTTGTTTAATGCTAATATGATACACTAGAAATCACTTTTTTCATTTTTCAATGCATGAAGTAACTCAAATAAGTTGCTTCTATTAAAGATGCCCTAAAGGTATTACAATAGCGGTTGAAGTGAGGGAAACAACGTAACAAATTTGGGAGTTGAAGGATTGAGTTTGAAAAAAGAAGGAAGAAAGAGAGACATATTGGAAGGTGAAGCCACAACCATGGCAATCTACTTTACTAAAACATCACAATGTGGATGGAAGTACGGTGGATGTAGTCCTGATGCCTTCCCTATCGTCGACAAAGAGGTAGACATTGATGAAATCTCCTCTATAAAATTAAAAATTAAAATTATTATAATTATTTAAAGACTAAATTCAAAAATATAATAATTTTAGCATAGAAATATAAAATGATGACAAATCAAAATTGATGACATGGTATGATTGTACCAAAACCTTTCAAATTATGATAAGGATTGTAAAATTTTCTATATTAAATTCTATTTATCATTTTCTTATATATATATATATATGATAAATTTGTTGATTATTATATTTATCTTAAAAGTCATATTAAAATTATTTTTTATTAGTTAATGATATAAAAAAAATTATATTGACAATACAAATTTGTTACTCTTAAATATTTTTATATTTTAAAATATTAAAAAATATTTACATTTTATTGAGAAATTTAAGATGAAATCATAAAATCCATCCTTATATATTAAATACGAATAACTATCTTACCTAATAAAGTTTTTAAAGATTTCTCTTTAAGGAGATGATTT